CAGGAACGCAGGAGCGCTTATCAAGGCGCATAGACGTGACGACGCGCCCGCGCTACTATCTATTGGTGGGTATATAACGGGTCAATATTAACTGCCAAAGGGTACCACTATATAAACTTGATAGAGGACATATTCACGGATACCACGGTATCAATGTATTATCTCAGGAACGTAGGAGCGCCTATCAAGGCGCATATAAGTGACGACGCGCCCGCGCTAATATCTATTGTTGGGTATATAACGGGTCAATATTAACTGCATAAGGGCACCACTATATAAACTTGATAGAGGACATATTCAAGGATACCACGGTATCAATGTATTATCTCAGGAACGCAGGAGCGCCTGACGACGCGCCCGCGCTACTATCTATTGGTGGGTATATAACCGGTCAATATTAACTGCCAAAGGGTACAACTATATAAACTTGATAGAGGACATATTCACGTATACCACGGTATCAATGTATTATCTCAGGAACGTCAGAGCGTCTATCAAGGTGCATATAAGTGACGACGCGCCCGCGCTACTATCTATTGGTGGGTATATACGGGTCAATATTAACTGCCAAAGGGTACCACTATATAAACTTGATAGAGGACATATTCACGGATACCACGGTATCAATGTATTATCTCAGGAACGCAGGAGCGCCTATCAAGGAGCATAGACGTGACGAGGCGCCCGCGCTACTATCTATTGGTGGGTATATAACGGGTCAATATTAACTGCCAAAGGGTACCACTATATAAACTTGATAGAGGACATATTCACGGATACCACGGTATCAATGTATTATGTCAGGAACGCAGGAGCGCTTATCAAGGCGCATATAAGTGACGACGCGCCCGCGCTACTATCTATTGGTGGGTATATAACGGGTCAATATTAACTGCCAAAGGGTACCACTATATAAACTTGATAGAGGACATATTCACGGATACCACGGTATCAATGTATTATCTCAGGAACGCAGGAGCGCCTGACGACGCGCCCGCGCTACTATCTATTGGTGGGTATATAACCGGTCAATATTAACTGCCAAAGGGTACAACTATATAAACTTGATAGAGGACATATTCACGTATACCACGGTATCAATGTATTATCTCAGGAACGTCAGAGCGTCTATCAAGGTGCATATAAGTGACGACGCGCCCGCGCTACTATCTATTGGTGGGTATATAACGGGTCAATATTAACTGCCAAAGGGTACCACTATGTAAACTTGATAGAGGACATATTCACGGATACCACGGTATCAATGTATTATCTCAGGAACGCAGGAGCGCTTATCAAGGCGCATATGAGTGACGACGCGCCCGCGCTAATATCTATTGGTGGGTATATAACAGGTCAATATTAACTGCTAAAGGGTACCACTATATAAACTTGATAGAGGTCATATTCACGGATACCACGGTATCAATGTATTATCTCAGGAACGCAGGAGCGCTTATCAAGGCGCATATAAGTGACGACGCGCCCGCGCTACTATCTATTGGTGGGTATATAACGGGTCAATATTAACTGCCAAAGGGTACCACTATATAAACTTGATAGAGGACATATTCATGGATACCACGGTATCAATGTATTATCTCAGGAGCGCCTAACAAGGCGCATAGACGTGACGACGCGCCCGCACTACTATCTATTGGTGGGTATATAACGGGTCAATATTAACTGCCAAAGGGTACCACTATATAAACTTGATAGAGGACATATTCACGGATACCACGGTATCAATGTATTATCTCAGGAACGCAGGAGCGCCTGACGACGCGCCCGCGCTACTATCTATTGGTGGGTATATAACCGGTCAATATTAACTGCCAAAGGGTACCACTATATAAACTTGATAGAGGACATATTCAGGGATACCAAGGTATCAATGTATTATCTCAGGAACGCAGGAGCGCTTATCAAGGCGCATATAAGTGACGACGCGCCCGCGCTAATATCTATTGGTGGGTATATAACGGGTCAATATTAACTGCCAAAGGGTACCACTATATAAACTTGATAGAGGACATATTCACGGATACCACGGTATCAATGTATTATCTCAGGAACGCAGGAGCGCTTATCAAGGCGCATATAAGTGACGACGCACCCGCGCTACTATCTATTGGTGGGTATATAACGGGTCAATATTAACTGCCAAAGGGTACCACTATATAAACTTGATAGAGGACATATTCACGGATACCACGGTATCAATGTATTATCTCAGGAGCGCCTAACAAGGCGCATAGACGTGACGACGCGCCCGCGCTACTATCTATTGGTGGGTATATAACGGGTCAATATTAACTGCCAAAGGGTACCACTATATAAACTTGATAGAGGACATATTCACGGATACCACGGTATCAATGTATTATCTCAGGAACGCAGGAGCGCCTATCAAGGCGCATAGACGTGACGACGCGCCCGCACCACTATCTATTGGTGGGTATATAACGGGTCAATATTAACTGCCAAAGGGTACCACTATATAAACTTGATAGAGGTCATATTCACGGATACCACGGTATCAATGTATTATCTCAGGAACGCAGGAGCGCTTATCAAGGCGCATATAAGTGACGACGCGCCCGCGCTACTATCTATTGGTGGGTATATAACGGGTCAATATTAACTGCCAAAGGGTACCACTATAAAAACTTGATAGAGGACATATTCACGGATACCACGGTATCAATGTATTATCTTAGGAACGCAGGAGCGCTTATCAAGGCGCATATAAGTGACGACGCGCCCGCGCTACTATCTATTGGTGGGTATATAACGGGTCAATATTAACTGCCAAAGGGTACCACTATATAAACTTGATAGAGGACATATTCACGGATACCACGGTATCAATGTATTATCTCAGGAACGCAGGAGCGCCTATCAAGGCGCATATAAGTGACGACGCGATCGCGCTAATATCTATTGTTGGGTATATAACGGGTCAATATTAACTGCCAAAGGGCACCACTATATAAACTTGATAGAGGACATATTCACGGATACCACGGTATCAATGTATTATCTCAGGAACGCAGGAGCGCCTGACGACGCGCCCGCGCTACTATCTATTGGTGGGTATATAACCGGTCAATATTAACTGCCAAAGGGTACAACTATATAAACTTGATAGAGGACATATTCACGTATACCACGGTATCAATGTATTATCTCAGGAACGTCAGAGCGTCTATCAAGGTGCATATAAGTGACGACGCGCCCGTGCTACTATCTATTGGTGGGTATATAACCGGTCAATATTAACTGCCAAAGGGTACCACTATATAAACTTGATAGAGGACATATTCACGGATACCACGGTATCAATGTATTATCTCAGGAACGCAGGAGCGCCTATCAAGGCGCATATAAGTGACGAGGCGCCCGCGCTAATATCTATTGGTGGGTATATAACGGGTCAATATTAACTGCCAAAGGGCACCACTATATAAACTTGATAGAGGTCATGTTCACGGTTATCACGGTATCAATGTAGTATCTCAGGAACGAAATCAGCGTCTTCCAGGTCCAGGGGGCTGAAAAGTGACGAAGCTCTCCCGCGAAATGTATTGACGGTGATATAACGGGTCAATAAAAATGCGAAGAGTCAATTACACCAACCGCGGTGTAATTCGGTCCAATAGTATGGTCAGGCTCGCTATCTATTAATATAGCGGTGTGCAAAGGTTTGCAAAAATTTTTTTGTATATAAGATAATAATCAAAGTACATCATGTGATATAGTAACTCGCACCTATATACACGGTTACTGTAAACAAAGAACGTAAAATAAATACCGTATACTGGTTTAGCCTGTATTTATCTGTAGACTATGTTAAGCTAAGGTAAAACAAATTGTGGCACTGTTCTGTGAGTTGAGCAGTAGATTAGTTTATAGTGTGGCACACTATCGGTTCGGTGGAGCGCTGAGTATGACATTGGTTAAAACAGAAATGGTTTAGGCTGTACAGACAATTTTACAAGTACTTTTTTGCTATGAAATTAACCGTTTGCTAAACTTAGTTTTCTTATATCACCATAAACTGACACAAGTATTTGTTATCAATTACGAGTTCTTTAATATTACCTTGACAAGAATCCTTTAGTTCTCCTTTGTGTAAATATTAAAACCATAAAAAAAACTCACGATTAGTAAAGAAACGAGTAATTTATAACACAAAAACAAGATAAGTGAAAGTGATAGGTGAAAGCTGACAACGACAACTGAACTGAGAATGCTGAGAGGGGACATAGAAGAAGTCGAAATTCCAAAAAAATGGTTCTTTAGCACACAAGAACAGGTTTTGGTTGTTTGGAAGCATGCGTTGGGTAGGGTTGGAGGGGCAAATCTTTTGTCATAATATGTCACTGCTCACTTTGTTTAGACTCACAAAAAGAAACTAGTGTTTGGCTATCGATTTAGTGTTATCGATGATATATATATCGACCTGTTATTGATACAGGACAAAAAAACTAGACATTACATAAATAAGGTTAACAATTCATTCTCGTACTAATTACTAGATTGAACATTAACTTAATGAACTGATGCTAAATTAATGTTTATATTAAATTATATTATGTAAGTTAATTACATCGCCTCAACTCCAGTAGCTCAACTCAGTCAAACATTGAATTAACCTATAAATAAAACGTAGTGACGCGAAATGAGTACAATAGATTCCAGGCGGCGCGCGCTCTACTGGTGGCCTTGACTGGTGAGTACACTCGGCCGCTCGCACGCACAGGCGCGGGCACTATTTATTGGTGAGTTATTGGCAGATTCACATCAATGCAGTGGCCGGCAGCTCATCGGCATTTTACCGGCATGTGCAGGGTCTCATTCCCGCCTGTGGTTCACTATTGGAAAATCGGTGTGTGTGCAACGCACCTCAGAGAGGCCCTTTTATTCACAAAGAATTAATCTAACACAAACAAAGTTAATTAACACAAAAACAAACAACAAAGGTAGTGGTTACTCACCTGGGCAGAAAACGCATCATGACGTCTCCATCTCCAGTACAAGCTGCCCCGCCTACAGCCCCGTCTGCGTAGCCTCCAGCCCCTACAAGTGGAGCATCTCCCACCCTCCTACAAACATGCACAGGTTAGTCAACTTAACAAATAATGGTTAATACGTACCTCATCCAGCAATCCTAGTAAAGAGTATAATTTTCTTTTAAGGTAAAATAGTTTTAACTTTTCCTATCACCAGTATTTTAAAACCTTACGTTTCGGGTGTTAAGGAAACTCCTTGTGTTTTCGAGTGACTATGTATCCTTACATTAGGCTACCTAATTAACCTAACTGGCCTTATGTTATTTACACATTAATAACACAAAATATACGATACAGTACGTAAATTGTGGTATTGAAGCAATTACCTAAAACTTATCACAACTATACTTATCAGTCCAAAGCATACAAACTAGCCTGCACTACTTGCACAGTTTGGTTATTATTATTACCAGTTGAGAAGGTAATGCCTTTTTCGGGTGGAATGGTAATATCACCATTTCATTTCATTTTATTTTTTTGTTTCTTTCGCTGAAATGAACTTTAAAAACAAAAACACATGTAGTATAACTTGCTACTCATGTTTTGGCGGTTGAAACTCCACCAACGTCAGGCTGTAAAGTATCCACTTTATGTGTCAGAAAAAGCATAAAACATATTTATTGTTACACTCACCCGGGTATTTTATGATTGGCTCCGTTGCTACTAGTCCCCACGGCTACCTGACCCAGCCGGTCCATGGCTATCATAGAGATTGTGTCGTGGCCGGGCTGTTTGGTTTCACCGTTTGTCCCGTCGCTGCCTCTGCGAGGTTTGTACGGCCCACACTGCTGCTTGGGATCAGGAGCCACATTCTGCAAACAAACAAAGCACTACTAGACATTGTAATACAATCCCGAACCGTTATGATTTACAACAATCAGATCCAGTGAATGAAAAAGTAAAAAAGGTTAACAATTACATAAAAGAGCTTGGAGCTAGGATAAAATCAACATAGATTTGGATCAATTAAAACGACATCATACAAATCAAGGGCTACATCTAAATGGAAGAGGAAAAGTTTAAACTTTAAGGTTAATATTGGAAGCTATTAAAACTGTATTTTCAGATGATTTTAACAGCAAAAAAATCAGTGTGAATGGAGACATGAAACATGTTATCAAAAAGGTTTCAGTTTGAGGCATCTGTGGCTTTTTCTCACTGTGTCTCAGGAGATTTTGGGCATCACAAACATATGAGTGCAGGATTTGCAACTGCATTTGCAGAACACTTTGGGAAACCAAAGGTGTTTAACTGTTTAACTGAAAACTTGACCCTTCAAACCTACAAAAACAGCAGCTCAGTTTATGGACTGTTTACAAAAAATAATTATTTTGATAAGCCAACAACAGAAAGGTATGAAGATGCTTTTGAAAAACTAATTCAGGACTTTAAATCGAGACCTAGGCCTAAGAAAAAATCCACTTAACAGCTGTACAAGACAGATGAGACGAGACTTCCACAAATAGGCACAGGCCTGCCATCCAAGGTCCCCAGGGCAGCCGAACCCCAATTTGAAGCCACTGATCTCCAACCAGCAGCAGATCCTGTTCCGCAGGGAGGACCGCTGCGGCAAGAGTTGCCGTTAGAAGCGCCAAGGGTCAGGGTCTATTCGCCTGAGCCGTCAGTGGACGTGATTTCCAAATTTAGCTAATCATGCTAATGGCATACCCAAGAACAAGAAAGGAGCATTTGCAAGACATGTGTTATTTCTAGACCTCACGACTCAAGAGGTTTCCAGGGTAATAAATAACAAGTAGAGCTTTGTCTCGAGTGAATGATGAAGGTCAAACTATCATTGAACAAAATATAACCAAAGTAAAGTCTATTCTTTCAACAGTGATTTTCTATGGTACCCACGACTTGCCATTAAGAGGGAAAACACAAGATGGCGCCGTTTTCTCCACTTCATGGAGGAATTCAACGATAAAGTTTTACGATCGAACACCTCAAAACTGAACCAAAATACCCCCGCCGCAGCAAACCTGCAGACTAAGCGAATTTCCATTAACCTGATTGGATTTACACTAAAATGCCTCCATAAAAATAGCACATTTATTTCCTATTTAAATAGAATTAGTTTAACGAGTACTTAGGTTTGCTGCAACAGGGAGGGTAAAAAAGATGTTTTATAAAATAATAATAGTTTAGTAAGAAATGAAAGTATTTTCCAAAATCAATCAAAATATGTTCATAAACAAGCAAACTACAACAGTTGACTTATTCTCCATAAGAATAACATGGGAATTTTAAAATTACAATTTTTTTGAATTTTCTCCATAACAATTAGGCGCATAATAACGCTTCAATATACTAAATTATTTGTTTTTTTAAGCTCTACAAAATGGTTTAAAAAGAAATTGTGAAATTTTGTGTTTTAGGGTCAAAAATGGGAAAAACCTATTTTTACCCCATAAAACCCCCCATAAACCCCCGTTCCCATAGTCCGATCATGCTGGTTCGCGAACTCATTCAAGTTTATCCCGCCTTACACCTTCAAACCAAATTTTATCAAAATCGGACAAAAATTACTCAAGTTATCGTGCGGATGGACACATATATATATATCTATATATAGATATATAAAAATTTGAACGAATGGTGTTTTTGGCCTCTGGGGACATCAAAATGAAAAAGTAAATCAGTCCCGGGCTTAGGTCTTACCATGAGACCTACGGTAATAGCTACTTCCCTATAGGGAAATTCGCTAAAATGCTAAATACATTTCTCATAGTATTAAAAATTACCTTATTGATACTGGTGCCACATCATTGAGAAGTGATCTAATGAGAAAAATAAAAGATAACGAGTTCTTTTCAATTTCATCAGATGAAACCATGGACATAGGTGGTACAGTACAGCTATCTCTAGGTGTGAGATACTACGACAGTGAAAAGTTTTCAATAAAGAGTTCCTTAGTTTTACATCGCTAAAAAATGGGATCGATGCTGAAATAATAGTAAATGCTGAACCGTAACCGACGATTTGACAGACTGGAAATTAAATCTAGAACTAGCTGTAGGAAAAGGCTATGATGGATGTAGTACGATGGCTGGAGAAATAAGCGCTGTACATGAAAGAATTAGTAACACATTCCCTATGTAGTAACATTTGTTGTAAAACTAGTGGCTTATAGGGGCAATAGCCCCTAAAAAATATATTATATTCTAGTAATTATTTTGTACAAATTATTAGTCTTATGGGTTACTCTACCTTGGTTATTGTTTAACATTTTTGTATATTATATGTAGGGGCCTAGTTATTACATACATAACCTGCATAATGGATTTTTATGTCTGCTCTGTTAAAAATAAAAATTCCAAAGGACTGTTCATGTGGTGTGTTTATAATATAAACTATCATAATATAGCTAAGGAACATTTTCAATAATAATCTTCATGACTAATAATTAAATGTAAATAAATTTCTTCTAAATTCGCTTTGATAAAACACATAGAGATAATTTGTTTCAAATAAATGCCAATTATTGTGAAAATTTAATCCTTGGAAACTTAAACGGCATATTAGGATCCGTAGATATTAGTTATTACTACTTTACACTTTTTTCAGACATAGCTAACACAACCAATCGTACTCCATAAACTAATTCAGACCCTAGGTTCATATTTCTTATGAGCATCACTACTGAACCAGCTTTTAAAACTAATTTGTGTGGTGGCATTCAAGATAGTGTAATTTAATTCATATAGTCATATGCTATGTTCAACCTCTCTGTAGGGTTAGTATACGTACTAAGGTACATATTACATACATACCATATGCTTTGAAATAAAGTTAAACCACATGTTTAAAAGTAAAAGTACCTGGGGACCGAGCTTTGCTCGGGGAAAATCATTAGTTCACTCTGAAAGCACCTTAGTATTGGAGATGCATAAATCCATTCCCAAACTCCACACGGCTCGCCTTCACCACCATTTCCTACGTCATGGACCTGTTTCCCTCCATTCCCATTGCATTTAAAGATTACAAATACCTTAATCTAATCGTCATAAACAGTTCCCACACTCCGGACTACTCGCCTTGACTACTTCCTTCACCACTTCCTACGTCGCGGACCTGTTTCCCTCCCTTCCCATAACATTTTAGGATTGCCCATACCCTTATCTAATCGTCATAAACAGTTCCCACACCCAGGACAGCTCGCCTTGACTACTTCCTTCACCACTTCCTATGTCGCGGACCTGTTTTCCTTCCTTTCCATAGCATTTTAAGATTGCGGACACCTTAATCTAATCGTCATAAAAAGTTCCCACACTACGGACTACTCGCCTTGACTACTTCCTTCACCACTTCCTACGTCGCGGACCTGTTTTCCTTCCTTCCCATAGCATTTTAGGATTGCAGATACCCTAATCTTATCGTCATAAACATTCCCCACACTCCGGACTGATCGCCTTCACTACTTCCTTCATCACTTCCTACGTCACGGACCTGTTTCCCTCTATTCCCATAGCATTTTATGATTGCCTTTGTTACTTCCTTCACCACTTCCTACGTCGCGGATCTGTTTCCCTCCCATCCCATAGCATTTTAGGATTGCCCATACCCTTATCTAATCGTCATAAACAGTTCCCACACTCCGGACAGCTCGCCTTGACTACTTCCTTCACCACTTCCTACGTCGCGGACCTGTTTCCCTCCCTTCCCATAGCATTTTAGGATTGCCCATATCCTTATCTAATCGTCATAAACAGTTCCCACACTCCGGACAGCTCGCCTTGACTACTTCCTTCATCACTTCCTACGTCACGGACCTGTTTCCCTCTATTCCCATAGCATTTTATGATTGCCTTTATTACTTCCTTCACCACTTCCTATGTCGCGGACCTGTTTCCTTCCCTTCCCATAGCATTTTAGGATTGCAGATACCTTAATCTAATCTAATCGTCATAAACAGATCCCAGACTTCGCACTGCTGCCCTTGACTACAATCATAGATAAAACCATAGACTATAAAACATACTCCCTACAATGTATCGAGTAATCTTCAGTATAATCTTTGCTAAATATTATGCTAATTATTAAGTGATGTTTTCCTTTTGTACTGTATTTGTAATTTGCTAGTATACTGTGGGTAGTTGGCTTACTATGAACACATGCTACAACTTCAAGTCTTTTATTTACTTTATCCTTGTTATTTAATTCATCCAACATGGTTACCTAGCAACTAATGTAAAAAAAAGTTGTTTTCAGTTTCATTTTTCTACGTAATTAGATTTTTGTTGGCAGTTCTAACTGCATGAAACTCGTTTTTAGGCCAAAAATAAACTATTTACAAGATTTGAAGAAAATCGTCGGAGCCGTTTTCGAGATCTTTCTGCAAGCAAGCAAGCAAGCAAGCATACAAGCAAACATTGCTCGTATTAGAGTATAGGATAAGCAGACATGACCTAGATTCCCATGTTATTTAAATGTGAATTATTTTATTCCGTAACAGCCTTTTGGTGCATAATTAAGAAAAATGAATAGTTTTCCCTCAAAATTCACGTCAAGCGTCAAGACCTTTAAAATAAGACCCCTCCCATCCTTCTACGGCCATCCAGTCACTCACAATTTCTTTACGAAAATTTGACTTGCGGAATTATATATATATTGATGATTAGTGTAGTTAGCTATATCGTATTCATTAAGTGACTATGCTATAATTTTAGCTGTCAAATTCAAATTCAAATTTTTTATTTACTCATCACATCTTATAGGCCTAATGCACAAGGTACAAAAGATTGGAGTGTCGTCAGAATATAAACTAAAACTAAAACCAAACTAAAAATAATAAAGTTAACATAAGTAAAATGTCTCATAAATAACTAGAAAAGACCTTATCATTCTTCATTCAGCGTATCATTTTACAAAGTATCCTTAAAAACTCTTCTACAGTGTAGTATGGTTTTTGTAAGAGAAGTTTAAGTATATATCTAAGGGCTAAGTTCTTGGAATTGTTTTTTTGTAAAATGCTGTACAATTTATTATAAACTTTTACTACCATGTATTTTGGAGAGTTTTCATAGAATGAAAGCCTATGCCGAGGAAATTTCAATTTGTTCTGATGTCGTGTTGGATAGGTATGGTTGAATTTACAGTCATCAAAAATTGTAATTTCATTAAACATTAGTTTAACAATTTCAACTATGTCAAGATTTGTAAGTGTTAAGATACCAATATCTTTAAATAAAGATCCGCAGCTTTTACTTCTTTTAACTCGAGCCATAGTCCTCACTATTGATTATTAATGTCTGTCTTATGACATTTTCAATAATTCGTAAAAATTCAAAAGGCAATAAATATATTTCATTTCATTTATACTTCATTTCTTTTTTTTTTATACTTTTCATTTGTTCTTGTTTCTTGTTAGCATGTTGCTAACTTTTATCATTGTGCCAGCCACTGGCTAAATTTAGGTATTAGCGATGTCAGTGATATAGGCTACCACAAATTAGAAACACTGTAGGTACTATAAAAGAAGTGACTACGTTTTTAGGAAGGATTCCAGAAGAAGAAGCGTTGTTGGGACTTAGCAAAACCTTTGTGAAACTAGGTGGACAGAAAAGTACAAGTCGATTTGAAAATTTCATGACAATTTTATTGACATAGTCAATGGCCTTATAACCCTTTCAAAGAGGGAAACAAACAAAACAAAAAGCCTTTCAACTGGACTATACTGCAGATGTTTTAGGTCTTTCTACTCTATGACTAGGCCTCGTACCGATACCAAGCACAGCCACCACTCTAATGTACTGTCGAAGAGTGTAGAGGACTACTACAGAAAATCACATTTTGTACCATATTTGGATTACCTTATCCGAGCCCTGAGTGACCGAATCTTCGAAAAGAACCCGACTTCATATGAATTGTTTAATCTCCACCCCTTGAAAATTAAGTTTAAGGTGTTAAAAATATTTTGTATTCTAGTTTTAAAATATGGAATGACTGTTTCCTTAATTACTTTCTTTGCGTATTCAAGTTTTAGTGGGAAGTGCAGCGCCGACTGACTGATGATAAAGTACTGTGATCAGTGACGTAGCCAGGATTTCAAAATAGGGGGGGGGGGGTCGACCGACCGGGGGGTCTGGGGGTTATTCCATACCCCTTAGGTAAAAGGGGGGCCCGGGAGAATTAAACCCCCCCCCCTAAAACGGTTTTTAGCTCTTTTGGCATTGAAAATAATCAACCCCAACGCCAATACAGTTTGGTTATATAATGTTATATTTAATTTAAAAAAATATATATTTATTATATTTTTACTGCTGTGATTGCTAAGACAAAGTTTCCCGATTGATAGTGTGTTGCTGACTTATTCCTTATGCATTAGTACACTGTCTTTATATTTAAATTTACGTATTATCTTTGATCTTCCAAAATAGTATCATAAAATGTTTATGATCTTGCAAAAATAGAGACAGAGAATTTAGCTTTAACAAGAAAGGTTTACGTAAAAAAATCCCTCCTCTAAGCAGGGGGTTATTCCATACCTACTGACCCCCTGGTCAACCCATGTCGCTCCCCCCTGAAAAAATTACTAGTTACGCCCTTGGTGTACATTCATACTTCAAATCCTCAGAAGAGTAGGAAGCTTTTTATATTTCAAAACCAAACCCAGCTGTCCTTTATTATTGTGTTTGTATAAATGATGCTAGCTAAAAACTCCCCAAAACGGTGTATAAGCATGTTAATTTTTTAAGAGGAGGAACAAATATTAGATTGCCACCTCAAAGTATTTGTGACCCACTACACCCTCAATGAAGTTATAATAATATAGAATAATATCATACAAGACCAAGCAGTAATGGACAGTTTTTAAACAATAGAAAATATTTTCTAAAAATATGAGAAACCAGAACACTAATCTAATCTGTAGATTACATTATTTACTAATTTACTTAAGATAGTAAACTTGCCATCCAGCATTTTTCCTATACGGTACTTTGATTTACAATAGTCACTTTAAATAATAATGTTTGTTATAACCTAACTAAAAATATCATTACTGCAATTTTAATTTTTCTCTCTAGTGGTCCCTCGAATTTGGCATGGTCATTGAGTAAAGTAACAACGCAGATTTAGTCTCTTTGACACATTTTACATCTTCAATTTGTGAGTTTACTAACTGTTTCATCACTACATACCTTTCACCTTACAACATTATTTTTGTATTCAGATATTCATATTCACACTAATATTCAGTTTTAATTTACCCACCTAAATAATGTCGCTGTCACAAAAGTATTTTGTAATAATTATGGTCAAAGCCTTTGGGGATTAAAAGATTTGAAGATTTTGTGAACACTTGTAAATATAATCCTGTAACACAAGATAGTAAACATACACTCAACTCTCAAGTCCCGTAATCTATTTAACTTCCTATCAGCTTAATGGTGACACCAGCTGTGTAGCAATATTCGCATTGGGGTATTATGAGTAACAGTTACAAAACACTTTCTTTCTTGTAAGAAGTGTACTTGATTTCTTACATTTTGGCCGTTCCGACCATTGCTGTGGTCATTGACAGAAATGAGGAAATCTACTGTATGAAAATATTTTCTGGCAAATAAAAAATTCTGAGTTCCAAATTGTTATCTGAACAGTAACTGAGTACCACGATGGCAACATATATGGGTTCTACCAGCACATTTTTGTTTGTATAAACGCAGATAGGTAATTTCTTCTTCCTACACACAAACTTCTTCTCTGCAAAAAATACTTGAACTATATCAACGACTAATAAAATTCTACTTACGGTCCAATAGTTTGGTTGACAGTTGCTTCCGACCCAATTCCGCCAAGTAGCTTCTGACTGGTTCGTCGACAAAGATTCTGACTTGAAGCCCATGTTGATGGCGAACTGAGTGGCCAACTCTCCGACAAGAATGGAGTGTTTGGTGTTCTCCAGGACTCTCCGTGCCACAGAGATGGCGGATTTTACACCTCGTAACGCTCCGACAGCACCGACGTTCATCGTCATCCTATATGAGAAACAGTTGTTGAGTAAAGGTCTAGTATAACAGTAATTGGTTTGACTTTTGTAATCGTGGAGAGAAGTTATTAATTATTTAAGGAACTGCAGACCTTTTTCATTGCAATTCGTAAAATAGAAAGTTTAGGATATGGAATCTGATTCAGTTTGAACGCGAGCAAGTAAAAAAAAATTAAAAAGGATTGGTACACGTAAAGACGCCAAACCTGGAAAATAACTAAAATAAAAACACACAAAACTGTATACAGTCAACTCTTGGTTATCTAAGTCTCGGTTGACCGAGCCAGTCATTAAAAAATAACAAACATAAATAAAGGTCTTAATAGCGAGACAACTACGGGGAGCCGCGATGTTTAATTGTTTAAGAAGCGCGGTCAAGCCGTGGACGTCTCTACTGGCTGCTACTTGGTCCAGCAGTCAACCTGTAACGCCAAAATACTCAGATGATCAATTAATGCTAAGAACTACAGTAGCGCCTGAGATTTTTACTGGCTGTTGCTAGGTCAAGCTTCTATGAATTATCTTCTATTGAAACCTGCGTATTTTCATATCTACCTGACAGATTAAGTTGGCTCTGAACTCGCGCTGGACTTGGTTGGTGTTAGTCGTACTCGTGCTAATCGTGGTTGTGTAGGTGTGTTTATTTTTGCCATTTTAATTGATTGTTTATCGTTTGTTGTTGATTTTTATTGTTGCTATGAGTGGAAAGAGAGTATTAGTTTCTCTTGAAACAAAATTTAATGCTATTAAACATTTGGACAATGGCGAGTCAATTAATAAGGTGGCTGCTGATTTGGGGGTTAGGAAAGTCACTATTGGCAACTGGAGACGAAAACATGAAGAAATAAAAAAAATATGTTAACAAAAGTGTGAGTGGAGGCAGAGTTTCTTAGTCGAAAGACTTTGAAGAAGGGTAACTACAAGCAGACGTTTGAAGCCCTTTTTTTGTGGTTTTCCCAGCTTCGAGGGATGGGCAGTCCTGTGAGTGGGCCAATGCTACAGACTAAGGCGATTGAATACCATAAGAACTTAAAAAGACGGAGAGGAAACATTTACAGCGAGTGAAAACTGGACTGATGGAAGAAGAGGTATGGAATAAGGCAGCTTTTAGTCCTCGCCACCCTAAGTTGAGACAGCCAAAGGCGCACGGCGTATATCTAGTGCGGCCTTGGGCTGCCTCAACTTAGCGTGGCGAGGACTATAATATTAGTGGGGAGAAATTATCAGCAGACTCATCTGAAATGGCGGAATTTCAAAATAAAATTGAAGAAATTATTTTCAAGGAAGGATTAATTTCTGATCAAATTTGTAACTTGGACGAAACAGGCATTAATTTTCTAATGCTGTCTTCAAAGACCTTGACAGCAAAATCCACCAGTTGACCCAGAAACTACTGACACAACAGACAATAGAACAACAGGAGAGTACCAGCCTATCCCAGGCAGTTCAACCTCAATTTTGCTCAATCCCCTGGAGGTGTATAAAGTGGCACCTGAAGTTGGTACGACCCTTTCCGAAAGCCAGCGAAAGGACAACAAGAGTAACAAAGAGGAAGATCGTCAAATCTGAGGTTTTGACAGATACCCCAGTGAAGAACCTTATATTGGAGACACTGGAAAGGGGAAAAAATAAAAAAAATAAGTCACTAAAACAACAGCCTAAACCACAAAATCCTGAAAATGTAAAAAAAGTAGGAGTATTCGTAAAAAACTCTATCAGGAAATACCGGTAACTAGCTCTGAAGAAGAGGAATGGAAAGAGTCTTCTGAAAGCGATCTCGGAGTGGAGTTTTTGGAAGAAGAATCTGAGGCAGGTAGGGATGACAGTAGCCTAAGTCCAAAACCAAACATTGGAGACTTTCTACTTGTTCAAGTTTGCGGTAAGAAGAAAGGCAACGTCAACCACTTTGTAGCTAAGGTGATGGAAGTTGAAGATGTTGGCTATGAAGTTAAGTATATGAAAAGACTTTCCCCTTCATATAACTTTGTTTTTGAAAGTGAAGATTTGTATTTCGTTCTTTCAACTGACATAGTGAAGAAACTGCCTACTCCTACTGTTCACGGACGGAAAGAACCCTGCAAAAGCTTTCTTTCCAATTGTATCCCTCTAAGTATAATGTCCATTAGTCCCATGTACATATTTAAGAAGTTTATATTTTATTAAACACTCTGTAAGAAATTATTTCAGTTTTTTTATGACCCATTGTACCACAGACCCCGACCCACTGTACCCCAGACCCAGAACCACTGTACTCCGGGCCAGGGCACAGTAGGTCAGCATGCAAGGGTTTTTATTTATTATTATGAAGCCTTTTATTCTAGAAATATGATCACAAGAACAATTATTTAAGTAGGGGCCAACCTGAGAAGTGATATTGTAGATATATGTATTTTCCAAACCAAAAAAATTCAACATTATTTTAACAAAAAAATTCAACATTATTTTACATAAAGTTATTGGTAAAAAGTGATCCGTTGTGCCTCAGTCTCCCCTACCTATTATTTTTTCTCTTTTTGAAAAAAAAAATAAAGATCAATTAAACAACTTTAAATTTAAAGAAGTTAAGCCTTTTAGAGTAAATCTCTACAAATTCATCAATTTTAGGCTTGGCAGTGTTGGGATGAAAAAAACCTTAGCAGTTTTGGCTTAGGCCTAACATGTAAAAAATGTTTCAGTATCTAAAGGGTTAATCAGAGTGTGATTAAATAATTGGCAACTTAGAAATGACATTCACACAGATTATGGTCCAACTCACCCGTCCATGATAAAAGCGTCGAGAGTAGTTTCCCCGTTCTCGTCAGGACTTCCTCCGTAGCCAACAGTGAAATCGCATTGCTCCTGTTCGCAAACTGTGCACCCGATCTCAACTGCATCCAGAGCAGAGAGATTGCGGTTGTACAAAGCATCCCATGCTGTATCAACATAATGGATGCAGATTAGTACATGCAGTTTTTTTGCCTTTTAGATGCAATATATACAAAAAGAAAAAAATAATTATATTTTATTTTATTTTGGCTTACAATTTAATTTTAAAATGAAAGTTTGTGGATTCTTTGTAAACCCATACTCCAAATCATGATTAATACTGTTAGGAATCAGAAACAAAAAAATTGTTGATATATGAAAATATTTTTTAAAGGCTTGAGAGCTTTTCCTGTAACTCGTTACAATTGTTTTAAAATACCCCCTCCCCCTCCAAGGGGGGGGGGTAATGAAAGAACAAAACTTAATTTTGAACGTCTATGCATTTGTCAAAACTACCCATTTAGAGGTATTGATATTTTCTTAAGGGCAGACTGATTTTATATTTTAATTATAATGTAGGTGTAGTTTAATTACTCAAAATGTGTGATTTCTCCTAACTTATAACATAGTATAATTGTTTACTTACTTGCTTTCTTTTTATTGCATTTGTGTACCCATCAATACTGTTATTAAAATTATTTTAAACGTCTATGAAGGTGTCTCAACTGCCCATTAAAGGGTTCTGGATGAAATATTTGGTAATTGAGTTACATTTACAGTGGTTTTTAATATGTTGGCTTGCATACTTGGGAATACCGAATAGCAATATTCGTTAGTTTTTAAACTAGGCTAACTATCTAGTAAGTTAACTTCTATCTATTTCTATCTATTCTATCTATTTATTCTGACTGTCATTATATTTATTTAGTATTAATCTTATAACTCTATGCATGTTTTTTTCTATCTATTTAACTGTACAGCTATTTATTTATTGTAGCGTCTGTGATATGCAAGCCTTTCTATTTTGTATGCTAAAATGTGACTGTGATAATGTATCGCTATTGTTTTATATATGTGTCTCTGACGAGGTCTATTGTAATCAATGATTATTTAATGACCAATAAAGTACTTGATTACTTACTTGATTACTTGATTATCAGTTACTTTTTACGGGACTAACTAATAACTTCTAACTAGTTCAAATTTTTGACTAACTTTCCCCAACTATGTTGACTTGCATTAATGGCAAAAATTATCATTGTCAGGTGGAAAACAACATTGACCGGAATTAGGGTTACGGTAGGCCTATAGGGTTAATTTGAGGAGTCCAAGAAAATAAACCAAAACAATGTTATTTATTTAGATAACTTATCTGTTTACTTTTTATATAATTTATACAAGTAAACATAGGAGAATAAAACAAATATAAATATAAGCATAAAAATTAAATAATTCATGCAAAAACTGATTAAAACCTAACCTTACCTTCTCCAACCGGAATTTGGGTGGTTTACCTTACGTTACTGGTTAGTTATGCTTCCCCTGATAAATTATCATCTAATTCAACTCAATTGTAAGGACCATTCACTAAGCAAATGGAACAATCTACAAGACAAACACTTTGATAAGTAACTTTAAAACCGGACGACAAACATTTCACAATCGTACACAACTAAATTAAATCATTGTCTGAGTGGGCTGTGAGGCCTAAATTAACTTTAAAGCTGGCTCCCAAAAACTACAACTTTAAAATAGACCCTAGGCCCTACTTAGCCTAATGTTATTAGGTCTAAGTTAACTTACCTGCAGCAGTTGCGTTAGTAAAAGGCCAGGTGTTGATGGCAAAAGGTATTCGGGGTTGGTTGTTATGAAAATCATCAATTTTAGAAAAATATGAGGTGGATTCTCCTAAAATTATGGATAATAATACTGTAATGAAAACTGAACCCAAAGTGACAAGAGATATAAAGTAACAACAGCTGTAGCAATTACATGAGTTTCTCATGTTGAAATCTAAAATAGGCTAGGCTGAAGTATAACAAATAATATCAGGCGAACCTTGCAATGAAAACTAAGAATATAAATCTACCATAAGAATTGGCCTAATTGTAGGAAGATCGATTGATTTTGATTGGCATTAGACACGGACATTTAAAAAAACGAACCCACGAAAGAACACAAACAGTTAAGAAGAAAAGAAGAAGTCATAATATTAAGGTAAAATGTTCACTGCACTTATTACAAATGTACGATTAATCGATAAGACAATTAATTTACTTCTAAGATATAACGTTTTGGTTATGTTGAGATTGAGTTTGACACAACTGCACTCAGCACTGACCACTGTTGATTGTTTATTTTTACTTGGATTTTGTTCCCATAAACATAAAACAGCTGATTGAACCTTCTGCTGTTCTGCAGACAACTTCTTCTTCTGTTTCTATTTATTTTCTTCTTCTTTTCTAGTTTGCTTATAAAAAGCTGGCCTGATTAACCTAGCATGTAGCTACACTACATTATGTCATATCACGGTGTCATGCCATTGTGCATAATCTCACAGTGCCTAATTAAAAATTGTCTCACAGTGTCTAAAAGTGAAAACTTGTCATAGTACATAAAATCTTATAGTAAAACTGTCTTAGAGTGCATAGAAGCGATTTTGTTGCATAGCGCATGGGTCCCATGGTGAAACCCTAGATAAAAAATACACCTTTATTAGATTTCTCATCCTTTTAAAACAGCTGAAGCCAATTTTATTGTCAGTTCTGTCCGGTGCACTGAAGAGGTAGTGTTTTATTAATAATTTGTTTCTTGTTATTTCAGTAATTTTAAACCTCGTTTAACTAAACGAAACGAGCTAATGATATACGGGAACACGCCAACGTCAACCAGCCCACGTCAACCCGCCACCAAAAAGAAGAAGTTTGAGGTGGCGTGTTGACGTGGTGGCTCGTTGTCAGAGTGGTGCATCATAGTCGTGTTTATACACGTCAACCAGCCACCTCTTTAGTGTGGTGGCGGGTTGACGGCAGCGACCATGGGGCGTACACGACACAACATGCCACCTTCGTTGGCAAAAGCCGCGGCTGTTGTCCATGCATTATAAAATGCATCACTTTTTGCAGTTTACCTGGACATGTGTTATCTAGTTTACTGTTAAGTGGCGAGCAGCCTAGTGTGACCCGTGCTTTAGGTTTACATTGATATAAGTCGCAATTTGGAAACGACCACTGATCGAATATAGGTACAGTCATAGATAAATCATACTTTTATAGGTACAGTATTTAACAGATTTGATTTACGTAGCAAAATAAGGTTATAACAAATAACATTTTATCTTAAACAATTTGTAGGTGAATCACATTCATGGATCAATCTCATCAATGGCAAACTTAAACAGGTCCATGACATAGGAAGTGGCGAAGGAAGTGTAGTAAACGCGAGAAGTGCAGATTTTGGGGAACGTTTGTGGCAGTTACATTGTTACATTAATGTATCTGCAATACTAAAATGTTATGGGAAGGGAGGGAAACAGGCCCAAAAAAGACGTAGGAAGTAGTGAAGGAAAAAATAGTAAAGGCGAAAGATCCAGAGTGTGGTAACCGTCTGTGGCAGTTAGATTAATGTATCTGCAATACTGTAATGTTATGGGATGGAAGGGAAACAGGTCCATGACATAGGAAGTGGTGAAGGATGTAGTAAAGGTGCGGAGTTTGGGAAAACGTTTGTGGCAGTTACATATCTGCAATACTAAAATATTATGGGAAGGGAGGAAAACAGGTCCAAGACGTAGGAAGTAGTGAAGGAAGTAATAAAGGCGAACAATATGGAGTGTGGTAACCGTCTGAGGCAGTTAGATTAATGTATCTGCAATACTATGGGAAGAAAGGGAAACGGGTTCACACCTTAGGGAGCAATGAAAGAAGTAGTACAGGCCAGCAGTGCGGTTTGTGGGAACCGTCTGTGGCAGTTAGATTAATTTATCTGCAATCTTAAAATGCTCTAGGAAGGGAGGGAAAAAGTTCCACGATGAAAGAAGTGGTGAAGGAAGTAGTAAAGGCTAAAGGTGCTGAGTGTGGGAATCTTTTGTGGCAGTTAGATTAATGTATCTGTATCGGCAATCCAATAACAGGTTACTCATTCTTCTACAATCGTCATCTTCGCAGGAATTTTTTTTATTTGATCATCATTGTCCATTTTTATGCATGACTTTGAAGTGAACTCTTTTTAGTTATAATAAACACAATAATTGCCAAATTGTGATAACAATACTCCATTTCATGCTTCAGGTAAGTTGCTGGCAATTTCGGTGAAGGAGACGAATTACTTCACTCAGTTGAGTCGAGGGAGAGACTGCGCTAGAGGAAAAAAGAACAAGTGGCTGCTGCAGGATGCGGACATTGCAAAAATTCAAGAAAAAATCAACAACCATATAATATCAATGGCAGAGTTTTTATCCGCTGCGACTCACAAAATATTAACTCTTGTGGAATCGTACCAGCCGACGCTGACGATGAGATAGAGATGCAGAATTTACTACCAGGTAATATTTCCACCACGTCTTAAAATTTTCTGTCACTAAAATCACCCGTTCGATTTATAGAATTTGTACTGGGCTGAGTTATTTCTAAAAATTAAAGGAGGGGAGTGGCAATGACCGCTGGAACGGGGTAGCGCACACTTGCAACAATAGGACAACAGTTTGACAACAGTGGATTAGGCCTGACCGAGTATACCTGGACCATTTCTCTCTTTACGTGGCCGGGACAAAGTTTTGAAACTCTACCTTTGATTCTTTTTGACATTAAATAGTCCTGGGATTTTTTCCACCCTGTATTTTAGACAGTGTTTTCCATTATTATTATTTTTACACTGGCTGATGCTTTAACTACCCGTGCTTCACAACGCGGAAAAGACAAAAAAATAATGCGGCACTCTGTTGTTGAACGGTTTAACTTTTTTAAATTGTTGAACATCATAGATCCTAACTTATTAATTTGGTGTAATGGTGTCTTTGGTTGTTTTTAAATACCTGTTACCTAAATTGTTAATGTAAATTCAAATGATGCATCTGTTCAAATGTAAAGAAATCTTTTCTCCATATTAAGGATAACATGGTAACTTTAAAAACTACTGGGGCAGAGCCCTGACAGAATTTTCAACATTTTATTTCACACAAAAACTAACTACATTATTTTGTTTGATTTATATTCAGTCATGGAGCTCAAGCCTCAAATCACAGTGACGGTCCCTGAAGCCCTTCCCACCTCGCTGTACAACGACTATCAGTGGAATCCGGTCCAGCTGTCGAGCTCATGTCATCAGCTGTGTGCTGAGGAGTTCATGTCCTTGGAGGACATAAGAAAACAACGTGAAGGCCTCATGCGATGTTTACGGCAGGATCCTGATGAAACTGTGGAATCGGCAGAAGAATTGCCAATTTGCCTAATTTGTATGGATTCTCGGGCAACCCGCCTCTGCGGTCAATGCGGACATTTTGTCCTTTGTGGCCGTTGTGTAAACGACTTTATTCAAAGAGAGGTATACCATTGTGTTACAGTTGGTAATGGTGAAGTAGAGGAAACCCCAATCCGCTTGCCGACGACTTGCCGGCTTGCCCGCTATGTCGGGCAATAGTTCACGGGTGCCCCTAGCAAAATAATCAAAAGTCAAAAAAGAGTTACGCTTTCATGCATACTCAACTTCCTACTGGACTATGAGTATCTGACTTGTTTAAGAGCACTTCAAGCGGTACCTCTTCTGCAACGTTAACATCATCGAATTTACTTAAAATATTGATTTTTTTGTGCAAACACAATCACGGTCAATAAATTGATATAAATAAATAGAATTAATTCAGCCATAAATTTTATTTATTGAATAACATATTAAGTAGATTTTGCTCATAAAAGTAGGACAACAATCTGAGCCTCAACTAGAACTTGTGTCCGTTAATTTACAAACCGAAGAATATTAATTTACAAAAACATTATTGTATGATGGTACATTAAAACTGAAGTAGACTCAAGATTTATACATATCGTGATAAGAAAATTAAGATACTTTACTATACTTTCTAAGCAACATCTTCCTCATTATGTAGTTTGCAAAACATTAAGAATAAGCAACCCATTTCTTTGACACAACCTATTAATTTTAAGATATAAAGAAAAAGAAGAAAAAGCGTATGTAACGAAAATCATTAAAGGCCATACAATAGACCTAAATCCGCTGTGATATTGGACACGAGCCCATTTTCTAAAGCGACCCTGTGTCAGAGAAATCTCTGCAATCGTTAGGTTGGTCGTCAGATGACTGTTGTCGGAGTTGTTGGCTGTTGGATTAGTTTCCGTCAGAACTCTACTGGATGAGAGTAGCGTCTGAAGAGCTTGTCTATCTGATCGTATACCAGCGTTGGCGCGTCTCGTCCCCACAAGAAGTCCAGATGGTTCCACCCCTTAAAGTTGACCAGGTACATTCCTACAGGTTGGGCCAGACCTTTGAACAACTCTTGTACGTCCTGCAACACCCAGAGACGAATTAGACAATGATCACGGAGCACTTGTTAAAACTCTCAAAATTTCTAAAATAAATTTGGCGATGAATGTCGGCATCGGATATGTTTCTTGTAATCAAAAACTTTGACTGACTTCCCTCGGACGTGGTGAGAGATTTGATTGTTTGGTTCTATAAAAAAATTAAAAAAACACATGGAAGAATACATAACAGCAGCTACAGAGCAGGGATTTGTGTAATTCTGTTAACAAATTAATTGATGCCAGTATAAATGGTTATGAGCCTAGTTGAAGCGTACAAGCGAATTACGGATTTATACATGAAACCCTTACAAAAAAAACCGCCCTCGTTTCCAATAGGAAGCAATATGTCATATTCCACGGGTATTCTACTGAATTTATTGTTTCATCTGGTGTTCCGCAAAGTTCTAATTTAAGCCTCCCAATTTTCAAACTGTTATCAATGACATTGTGGGAAGTATACATCATTGTTAAGTAGTTCTCTATGCAGATAATTTGAAATATATACAAAACTGGTGGTATAAGTGTTGCTACTACTTGTGTTATTTTAGGATAAATAAATTAACAGCAAAATAGTAATATTTATTTTTATTTAACTACGTTATTATTCTATCTTGGATAGTTATGGGTAAAAATAATTTAACCATGTCCATACTCACAAGCAGGTTGGCAAGGAGATCGTTGTCCCCGCAATGCAGAGATATTGGTACAGTAACTAGCGACAGATTGTACTGTGGTGGATCGGTGGTGTTGTACTTCACAAGGTTTTTGGAACTACCATAGTCGAATTGTTGGAATTTCCCTGTAAACAATTTCTTTGTTTAAATTTCAATTTATGCTTCAGGTCACAGCTAAATCATAAACATCTACCGTGGTCATGGAAAAATTGTGTAGTAACAAAGAAACTACCATTTTCAAAAATTATACAATTATCATTATGTTTTGGGACAAAATCATCAATTTCCAATCGTGTAATTTTGCAGACGCTTTCTGCGATTGTGAAAATGCAAGCTTGGCTCGGTAGAACATAAGCGAGGTCAATAAGTGGCAAGTGGCCACTCCTGACCCATCAACATCACCAGCATTTGAATAGGGAAGTCCTCATTATGAAAATACCCCTCCCCTTTGACTTCTCCTTCTCTGTGTAAGATTCATTCTTCTGGGTCAACAGGGGTTTTTTTGATTGTGTGGACCATCAACTTTTAATCTATAAACTAAGAATAATTGGTGTAAGAGAAAAGGTCTTCTCTCAAATTACTTACAAAACAGGAAACGGCGCACAGTAGTTTACATACATATGTCCAGATGGGATAGTGTTCCATTATGGTGTACCTCCTGGTTCTATTTCAGGGCCATTGTTATTTCTAATTTTTATTAATGACCTAGATCTACATATAACAACCAGTAGTTTATTTTAGTATGCTGATGATACCAATTTCATGGTAAAAAAATATAATTTTCACCAATTTAGTGAAATTTGTGCAGTTTTTTTTCTACACTTGCCCACACTCGCAACACCTATTATTCCACTGTACTGGCTCTGTGTAATTAGTGTCCTTGTAAGTCATTATATTAAATTAATTAAATTAAATTCATTCAAACCCCACCAGGGGGCAACTTTTTGTGTTTTCACACCTTTATGGTATATTAAATTATATTCCATATGGGCGTGAGTAAATTTGCATTCAAAGAGATCAATAATATTAAAGAGTGTTGATTACTTTTTTCTTTACAAATATTTTTTTTAACTATGAATATACTAAAAAATGGTTTAACCCCTAAACTGGTGGGTGAAAAGTTCAGATGGTAGCCAAATGTGGGGCTCAACGAAACAATCTTTAGAAGTAATAAAGAACATTGTTCTTTGTCATATCCAAACTGTTGAAAGTAATTCTAGTACTTACCAGACTTTATTTCTTGAGCATAGTGGACGAGGGTTTTGGTAGAGGTTCCAGCTGGATTGTGCCCCAAAATAAGCGGCAGAAGTTTCTTTAACATAATAAAACATTTTTGAGGACACAATATCTAGAAAATATATACGAGGCTTTTGTAAATGGCCACTTAGACATTCTAACTATTCTTCTACTGTAGGCTACTCATTTTACTCAAGAGGCAATAAATGAAAATACATATTTATACTGAATTTTGAGCAGATCTTGAACAAATTAATTAGTGGTGTTGCTTACAGGCTATATTGGTTAAATGCTTGAAAAGTTTAGCTCGAAGAACTTAGGGAAGGGCGCCAGGGCGGGGTAAATACACACATGTGGTTTATATTACAATGATATTACATTTGTGCGGCACCACAGAAGAAGGTGCGTATTTTTAAGGTTGAAGATGAGTGAAGGATGAATGTTGAATCGATCAACTGGTTAATTTGTTACACAGATCATTTGTTTCTTCAGCCAGGACCATTGATCATAAACCTAGTGATCAAGGACAGATGGGTAAAATTTCAACTGCACGCATGCAGTTTATCGGCTACAGAGTGACGTCACAGAGTAAGGAAGTAAAGCTGCAACCTATCGGCGAACATTACAACTATACTCCATTCCACGTTTACCATTCATTATGGAGCTCCAGGAACCATAAGATATATGGCAGCTTCAACGACACTAGTTTACCTTGGTAATAGCTGTCTGTCAGGGATCAACAAATTTTGTTGACAGGTGTTGCACTCTACGTAATAACCGTGGTCCAAGTGTGAATAGAGATGATTGGTGTCTTGCGGAGGAAGGGAGTAAATTTGTTTTTAATTCAAATCCAAATAGGTAAACCATTAAAAATATTGTTGGATGAAATTTCGGGTCCAAAGAAGACCAAACCAGTTATCTTAAAGGCTTATAATGGAGTTTCCTTCCCGACCAACTAAAACATCGAACCTTTGACACAGTTCTGCATGTAGTTTGCAGGCAAGGTATAAGTTCAATGAATGGAAAGCAGCATGAATGGTATGAGTTCCTTCAGTGGAAAGCATATTAAAAAGAGATAAAATGATCCATCTACAATAAAAAATGTGTGTTTTTCCAATTTACTTTTTTTTTACCGTGTCCTAATTGATATTTATTAATTTAACCAGGTGGTAGGCCTATATAATGGGCATTATATACGAGACTGGTAATGCTATATTATATTTCAATATAAAAACATATTTCTCCTTTTACAATGCAATAGAGTTTGTCAAGTATGGTTGTTATACAATCATATACTACAGTGTGGCCGAAAAGTCCCTTTACACAATTTGTTATTACGTTTTACACTGTTATAAACGGAACGACGGCCAAAACTGACTTGTGTGGGGTAAGGGCGCAGTGGAGGAAGAAAGTGAAACCCCTCCCCCGCCTCCGCCCCGCCACGCGGGCTCAGCCCAAGGACGCCGACGCCCCCTCAGTCTCAGTCCAAATCTGAGTCAGACAACATGGCGGACACCAGTGTGTTTAGTGTCGAGGAGCGTTTGGTCGCTTCTTTGTGGGTGCATGAGTGTCCTCACAACAGAAATACAATGGAGGAAATCATGAATGAATTTGCAGTGCGGTTTGGGAAACCTTCACCGTCCCGGCAAACATTAATATTATTCATTCTGATAGCCCCTGGACTACGAATAATGACTTATATCGGCTTACCTTCGTCAGTAGTCCAAAATTGTGTCTTATTTCAACTAACGTTGTTCAAAGCTTACATGTTTCGTTGCACTGCAACATCGTCGGAGCTTTTTGTCAAAAACATCAAATAATTTAAACATAGAACAAAACACGGAACACGAAACATTTAAACACGAAATAACACGATAGCGCTATCATGACATGGCCCTCAGTCCAAATCTGAGTCAGACAACATGGCGGACACCAGTGTGTTTAGTGTCGAGGAGCGTTTGGTCGCTTCTTTGTGGGTGCATGAGTGTCCTCACAACAGAAATACAATGGAGGAAATCATGAATGAATTTGCAGTGCGGTTTGGGAAACCTTCACCGTCCCGGCAAACATTAATATTATTCATTCTGATAGCCCCTGGACTACGAATAATGACTTATATCGGCTTACCTCCGTCAGTAGTCCAAAATTGTGTCTTATTTCAACTAACGTTGTTCAAAGCTTACATGTTTCGTTGCACTGCAACATCGTCGGAGCTTTTTGTCAAAAACATCAAATAATTTAAACATAGAACAAAACACGGAACACGAAACATTTAAACACGAAATAACACGATAGCGCTATCATGACATGGCACGGCAGCGGTTGTAGGTAGACTGGACACGGTAAGTAACTTCCTCTCGTCCTTCTTACATTAATAGCGTGGGATAAGAAGACGTTTGCAACGGGATCCGTTCTCGACGCGCCAAGAAGTCGACGACCGATTACTTGAGTCGAAACCTGCGCTGCTGTGGAAGCTTCCGTTGCACGTTCGCCAATGAAATCCACCAGAAAACGGTCTTCAGAGCTGGGAATTCCACGAACAACAATGCAAGACCACATGCGAAAGGATCTGGATATGAAGTGCTTTCGGCCCCTGTCAGTCAACGAGTTAACAGACAACGACATGGACCTTCGTGTGTAAGCGTGCCAGGTTATGCTTCGACGCTTTCCGAGGCACAGAGACAGGAAAAACGTCATGTTTAGTGACAAATGTGCGATTTACCGCAGTTCTTGCAACCGGAATGTTTATTTCTGGTCGAAAGAAAATCCTCACCTTTATGAGGAAGTTGAAAATAACCCGCCTCATGTGATGCTTTGGGCTGCGATAACTTCAGACCACCTGCTTGGCCCCTATTTTTTCGAGGGCACTGTTAACCAAGACAGCTATCTTCGAATGATAAATGAATGGTTGGTTCCTGAACTAAGAGCACGGAGAATATTGGACACAGTTATTTTGCAGCAGGATGGTTGCAGCACTTTGCGCTGAGTGTTCGCCGCTGCCTGAATGAACTCCTGCCAGACCGATGGATTGGACGAGGGTCTGCGAACTGTCCTTCCCCAATGCCCTGGCCTCCAAGGAGCCCCGACCTGACGACAGCTGACAACGCACTGTGGGGTTTTATCAAGGAAGAGGTGAGGAAACAGCGGTATGTCACAAATGACGAGCTAAGAGAAGGAGAAAGGGCGGCGTTTGGACGAGTCACACCTGAGATGCTGCGACGAATGAGCAAAAGAACATGGCATCGAATCAAGCTGTGCCGAGACCACGGAGGTATGCACACCGACGTTTTGACTAATTTTCTTGTTCACTATTAATTAGTTGTCAATAAATTTGTGATTAAAGAAAATTTGAATGGTTTTACTTAATACCTATAAAACTTATGTTCAGTGTAAAGGGACTTTTCGGCCACCCTGTATATAGTAATTGTATAATCAGTATGTTCTTTTCCCAACTAACTTACCTTCTCAAACTGAGCAGGATCATGTCCGCATATGACGAAAAGCCAGTTCTCACATATCTTCTCTTCAAACTCGAACATTTCACAAGCAGCTTTGAGAATGTCGTCAACAAATTGATTCCTCGGTAGAAATTGCCCGTGGCCAAAGTAATCGTAGATTATCTAAAAAAGATATACAACGTAGAAAAATGCAAAGTATGCATTGTACTGAAATTCAGGTCCTATAACATTTATTATGTAAATATCTCATACTTGCGAAAAGATCGTAAGGTTACCAGTAACTAGTTCAATAAGAATATTTAAGAGAATCATCTACCCCAATTTCTTGGTTGTTGAAATTCAAGGATCTTATTGGCTGAAATTTTGACAAGACATGATTTCTTTCTCAACCGTGAAATAGGGAACTAGTTTCTCAAGAAATTTACCTCAAAGCTATGAGCGAATCTTGAGAGATATCTTATCGGACTTGTAGTATGAAGCATGTAGGCAACAGGGGCCATGGCCGCCATGTACTTTACTTTTCCGTTGTATTCAGGCCGCTTGGAACAGAGAACGAAGAACATGGTTGTTCCCATAGAATGACCAACATAGTAGATTTGTCTGTGACCGGTCACATTCAGAATGTGGTCTATCACAGCTGGCAAGTCGTAGGTGCCCATCTCGTGCCATCTGTACAACAAAAATTAACGTTATAAGGTACATATTTTAGAGGGAAGAGCGCGCTTCCGCCTTCCTGTCGGATCATGGCCGATAACCCCAATTTCCTTCATAGACGTTGAGAAGAACAGGAGTGAAGCAATTGTGTGACATCAGCAAGATCCTGGATCAAGACTCCTACGATACAGAATGGTCTGGAACTGGAGGGGCAGACGAAGCTACGTTTAGCCTAGGAAGATCAACCCCTCTGAGGTTACTGACTGATTCTGTGATACCAAAGTCCACAAATCTAATGTTGTTTTACAGCATTGAAGGAGGTCCAGTCACCATAGCTCTACACCATTTTCCGATAACGCTGAATAAAATATAGGTGTCTAAATAATGGTACTACTACTACAAACAATAAAAATCAATACATAATAATGTTAAATGAACTTACGTCCAGTTCCAGAACCTGGTGTTATCAGGATGTAGGGTTTGGTGTTTCCTTGAGTAGATGTTACCTCTAGCGTTACCCATCCAGACGTCATATCCCTGGTCTGCCAAAACATACCCTGCAAAACCGAAACTTTACTTTACATGTGATTACTAAATCAAACTTATTCATACAATCGGTTCTATAAAATCTTCCGTAAGAGTACTGTGAGAACTACATAGATCGTTGCGTAGTAGATCTAAAAGTAGGATTTGTTTTATTTTTAGCCGTCGGTTAGTGACCAAACACAACAATTCACAATTTATTTCCAAACAACTTTGTAGAGCTTAAAAAAACAAATAACTTGTTGCAGCTAATCTAAGTACTAATTCTAATTAAATAGATAATAAATGTGATATTCGCTTAGTCTGCAGGTTTATTGCAATGGGGGTATTTTTATTTATTTCCGTTAAAAATGGGCATATTGTGTTTCAGTATCTGTTAACAGCAAAAACACAACAAAAAAAATAACTTAAAAAGAATAAGAAATATGTTTGAACAAAGGGGAATTAAAAATTAAATTCCTGACTTTGCTACCAAACTGAATAATTGCTGGTTCAATAGATATTTGTTAATATAATAGTAGAAAGCAAGTTTATTGATCTGTCTAAACAGTGAGTTACTACTGGAAAAATAATAAATTCATTTGAGTTAAGAAAATATTATAATAATACAAAATTAAATTAACCCTTTACAATAAAAATATTAAAATCAAAACTATTCTCTTGCTGAGATATTTAAGTCCAAATTGAAATAGACAGAGAGGAATGATGTGTAGAGATGTACTCACGACCTCGAAGAGAAGAAATTATCGAATGTTCATTAATAGCAAGGAATGGAGATTAACACTTCTTGAGAAAATAAAATATAACACTGTGTGCATCCAAACTTCTGGTGAATGTTCCTCACGGTTAAATAAAACTTCTGTAGAAACAATAGAGTCAATAATTGATGATTTAATATGGGATACTGAGACCCATGGTAAAATAATTAGAGGGATTCAGAGACCCTCATAATGGTTGATTCACATGAAGACTGCATAGTAACTGAGTGAGTTGGAGCAGTGTACAGGAAAAGCCACTGGTCAGTCTATATCATGTCGGCTGGAACTGATAAGCAGGATACGCAGCACATTCCTCTGCATTGTCTGCCTATCTCTCTCTCTCTCTCTCTCTCTCTCTCTCTCTCTCTCTGTCTGGCTTAATTTAATACAATTTTATTTTATGAACTCACTTAAAATATTATTCTGAATTGAACCAAAAAGTGCAGTGATTTATTTACACACAAAACATTTAAATATCTATTATTTAAATGACAAAACAAGTATTATTTTATGTATTAAACCCATTAAATCAGAATTGATCATGATAGAATAATCTAGGTAAAAGTATTTTATTAGTATCAATCAACTCCAAGTAAACAAAAACAATTAACACATGATAATAAACTAAAATGACAATAGTCAGTAGAGCCAACCATTACATCTCCCTCTTTAAAGGTTGAGTTTCTGGGGAGGTTTTATAAGTCGTCTTGATCGGGTTGTTATGTTAGCAGAAGACATTCCAGAGGTGTTTGGAGGAACCGTTGAAAAGTTTGGCATGTCTTCATGATGATCCATCGGACCTCTTGTTAATGGTTGACTGTTACGGTTATCTGTTGAAAAGTTTGTTAAGCACATACCGTTGTCTTCCTCAGATCGATGATCCTTCTGACTACTTGTTGATGGTTGATGGTTGTGGCAATGATCCTTCTGACTATTTGTTGATGCTTGATGGTTGTGGTAACTTTCCTTTTGAATGTTTGGCATTGGTTGTAAGTGAAACCGGTTTCTTCGAACTATGGTTCCTTTGTCCGTCAGTACTTTATAAGATCGTGGTGAGTTTAACTTTTCTACGACTTTTCCTTCACGTTTCAAATCAGATATCCAAACTTTGGTTCCTGGGTTCATATCTGATAAGGGTCGAGCACCATGTCGTCGATCGTAATTTCGTTTGTAATTTTGTCTATAATGATTCTCCTTCTCTCGGAGATGACTGAAGTCTGGCTTGTTCTCCAGATGACATGGTAAGGTAGGCAAATTGTCCCGTAGTCTGCGTCCGTATAATAACTGTGCTGGACTGTAACCGTTGGCCAGTGGAGAGTTCCTGTAAGACAACAAAGCTAAATATGGATCTCCTTTGTTCTTCTTTAGAACAGCTTTTGCAATTTTTACAGCTGCTTCGGCTGAGCCATTGCTCTGATGAAACTGAGGACTGCTTGTTTTGCATAAAAAGTTGTACTCTTTGGCAAATTTTCTGAATTCTGCACTAGTGATGCCAAACTGCGTTCCACTATCTGAGTATAAAACTTCAGGAATACCGTGGCGAGAAAACGTTGACTTGCATTTCTCAATAACTTCAGATGCAGTGAGCGATTGTAGAGTTGCAATCTCAAAATATCTCGAGAACTGATCTGTTATAACAATGAACCATTTGCCATTAAGCTTGAACAAATCCATTGCTGCCTTTTCCCATGGACGTTTTGGAAACTCGGAAGGAATGAGCGGCTCATTTCGATTTTCTCTGTGTTTAATGCATGTTGGGCATGAAGCTACCATCATATTTATATCTGATGCCATTCCTGGCCACCATAAACTGAATCTAGCCTTTTCTCGACATTTGGTGGCTCCTAGATGACCGACGTGTATTCTATGAAGCATTTCTTGACAAAGACTTGATGGTACTATTATTCTAGAATTGCGTAAAAGTAAGTTGTCCATCAGTGATAGCCTATCTCATCTTTAACCGAGAAGTAGGGGACTAGTTGAGATGGAAGTTGTGATTTTTCTGGCCATCCAGTATGACAGTATACTGCAATCTTTCTGAAGATGGGATCTGCTTGCTGAGCTTCCCGTAACCTGTTTATGTTTTCATCAGTCGTAGGTATGTTTTCAACCACATTTTGAACAAAAGCTTCAATTTCTTCTTCCATGTCATATGTTTCCTTGCTTGGAATGGGGCATCTTGAAAGACAGTCTGCTGGTGCAAGGTGTTTTCCAGGCGTATATGTCACTGAATATGAGTATCTCATCATGCGAAGCCTCATTCGCTGTAAGCGAGGTGTAATGTCATCCAAATTCTTAGATGATAAGATTTTTACAAGTGGCTTGTGATCCGTTTCAATTACAATCTCTCGACCAATTATATAGTCTCTGAGCTTGTCACAAGCCCATGTGATTGCCAGGGCTTCACGTTCAATATTTGAATATGATTTTTCAGCTTCTGTAAGTGACCTTGAAATGTAAGAAACAGGTCTGAATTTACCATCATGATGTTTCTGAAGAAGCAATCCGCCGAGACCATAAGAAGAAGCGTCTGCTGACACAAGAGTTGGTAAGCGAGGGTCGTAAAATGCTAGTTGGGGTGCTGAGGTCAGAAGTTTTTTTATACTTTCAAACGCATGCTGTTGTTGTTCTCCCCAAAACCATCAGATCATGGAAATAGGATGAGTTTGTCAAAACACATTCTTATTAAGCATAGTAAGGTCCACACATATTCGAACCTGAGTTCTATCTTTCTTAGGCACCACGACCATAGGTGCGCACCAAGAAGTAGCGTGATCAACGGGTGTTATAACGTCCATATTCACCATATTTTCAATCTCCTTCTTTGTTTTTTCCCAAAGAGGTACTGGAATCCGTCGAGGAACTGATATCGCATAAGGTTTTGCATCATTTTTAAGTTCAATTTCGTAGCTCCCCTTCATTTTTCCTAGACCACTGAAAAGGTCAGGAAAGTTTTTGATCCAATCATTAGCAGATTTGTTGAAATTAGTTTTCGATACCTCACGAATAACCGGTATTATTTTTAGTTTTTCTATTGCTGGTTTGCCAAGTAGTGGTGTTGTGCATTTGTCAGCCACATACATTTTTTCCATACACGATTGTCCTTTGTAAGAGAGTTTTGCAGTGATTGTGCCAAGAACAGAAAGAGGCGATCCTCCAGCCGCACTTAAAGTTCTCTGGGTAGGCTGGACTGCAATTTTTTTGCTTAGCTTTATGTTGGATGGTATTACTGTCACGTCAGCTCCTGTGTCGATTTTGAACTTGACAGTGTCTTCATTAAGTCTTACATTTATTGTCCAGGGATCATTTTTTGTTTTACTAGAATACACACACCCAATGAATTTTTTTGATGGGTCTGGTTCATTAGCGATTTGGGTAAAGTCATCTGAACGATCCAAGTCTATTTCTCGAACATTGTTTTGAAGACAACAGTGTGAAAAGTGGCCATTTCGCTTGCACCTAGAACATTTGCGATCTTTTGCTGGACACAGACCTCTTCGATGAGAAGGGGTTGAACCACACCAAATACAAGAGTTGGGATAGCTCTTGACATTTGAGCTTGAATACGTTAATCTCCCTTGATCCCTATTTTCTCTTTTGGATGAATGTATTGCATTATCATATCTAGCACGTTGATTTTTATTTACAGCTTCGATTGATGGGAGGGTCAATTCTTCTTTTTGTCGTTTCAATTCTTCTGATTTGCGAAGTGAAGTTATTGCAGATTCCAATGTAACTTTATTTTCTAATTGTAGTTTATCACTCAAATCTTGATCACGCATACCAATAATAATGACCATTAATAACATTTCATCTTCAAGCGTTCCCCATTCACAGGTACGAGCAAGAGAATATAAATCTGTCACAAAATCTTCTGCAGTTTCTGTTAGTCCTTGTTTTCTACGTAGAAATTTGGCTCTTTCATAAATAATATTCTTCTTTGGATTGAAGTGCCCATCAAATTTGTCCATGACTGTTTTATACTTTGTTTCTTCGTTGGTCATTTTGAAGGATGAGAATATTTCTTCTGATTTTGGGCCCATTGCATATATGAGTGTACTCACTTGTTTTTCTTCAGATGATTGATCCAAATCACTAATTGTTCTAAATCTTTTGAAACGTTTTTTCCATGGTGACCATTCCGCTGGTTGGAAGGAAAAAGGTTCAGGCATTCTTACTTGTGTATGAGCCATGATAAACTTTTTTGATAATGGTAGATACCACAAAAGTTGTTGATATGTTTGTATAGGTAAAAA